GGACACTTGACATCGCAGAATGAGGGTCCTGAGCGCAGGCGGAAGCTGTCGAGAAAAAAACAGATGAAATTGGTTTTGATGTCCTCTCCAGACAACTGCCTCGAGTTGCTGAGGCAGGAGTAGTGTCGACGGAACGGTAAACAATCCTAGCGTGGCCCCAGAAGGCAGATCTTCGATGGGGAGATCGACAGATAATTTATGACATCGTCCGTGATGATCGTGGCTCCAGAGAGACACCAATCCTCGGAGAAATACCGATAGATTGTCTGGTGTCCAGGAATGGTCACCGTAAATGGCAAACACTGTGAATGCACGTCCTTTCTTGATAAGAGATTGAAAGACAGTTTCGGTTGCTTGTCTCTCCTCAATTGTGGCATTGGAAACAAGTATCATTTGAATTGTATGGCTTGCCACGCAAGACAATTCAGCAGACATGGATGTGCGACGCTCGTCACCGATGTCGACGGGAAGATTGTTGTCAACGGATTCTTGTTTCTCAGATGCGGCATGCATCACTTGACGCGCATGTGGACGGAGAGAGATGCGGTTACCATAGGAAACTGGATGCCGATCGAATGTATTTAAGCCTATCACAGGAGGGAGTGAAACTTCTGTATCGAAATTGTTTCGATAAAATTCAGGATCGTCGAATATTGGATCTCTTGAAAAATAAGATTGAGATGAATGAGAGCCGGTCTCGGTAGTTACGCCGCCTTCAGCCTGAGACTCCGATGACTCGGAAGGACCAGCATCAAGTTCATCTTTTGCATCGGAATTGGCTCTAAGGTTGGAGGAGGACGAATAGTGAAAAATACGGCGATATAACCAAATGCTGGATGCAACAGCAAGGCCAGCATTCAGCACGCAAGCTGTAGCCATGATGGCAACCCTTAGTTTGACACGCGACATCTACAATCACTCGGTCAGGCCTATGAGACGTGGAAATAACAAAGCAATGGCCGACCTATTGTGCAAGGTGTATATACGTTGTCGTGAAAAAGGTTGATGAGTTCTAAGGCTTCTGAAGATGATGTGGACGTGCAATTGCCGTCTTATACAAGTCTTATATACTTTTCCGCCATAATAGATGTTGGCATCAACAAAAAGAACGAAAAAAGATAAACATGAGAAAATCACTATTGTGAATTGACAATAAATCGATGTTATTATTTTATATACTAGAAATCCGCCATTACATTGAATAACACAATTAACAATAATTCGGTGTAATACAATAAAAGGTCGCCGGCTAGGTAGCTATACGTAGGTAGGTGGAGTGGTTACCCAATTGAGGGTTAGCCCCACATGATGAGGACTAAACTCTGCTCAGGAGCTCAAAAGGGCCCGAAAATGTGTTTCGTCGACATCTGATAAATCGCTTCAGACCTCTCTAGAGCCCCCTAGTTGACGCTTTCGAGGTCATGGAATTTTGATCGAGAGGTGGCGTATCCAATGTCAATTGCCAGGCTGAGGGATGGAAAATTGAACTGCAATGCATATGTCTTCGTCAGAGAAGACGGTAAGGGTCTTCAGAGCTGGGACCGGATAACGTCGTCAAGGACAATAGTTGATTGGAGGCGTATCCTTTCGGTTATACGTGGGTGGTAGGCGAAGTAGTTGCCCAGCGGAAAGAATACCACGTACTATGAAGACGGAACTCTCCTTGGGGGCTCAAAAGAGTTTGAAAATATGTTCTGTCGACATCTCGCAAATCACTGTGGAGGTCAAAAGTCTCTAAGGTCCCCCAATTGAAGCTCTCAAGGTCATGGAAATTTGATTGGAAGGGGGGGTATCCAAGCATGAGCGTTAGGTTGAGGAGGGATGGAAAATGGAAGTTGTCAAATACAGTGCATATGTCTTCGTCGGAGACGACGGTAAGGGTCTTCAGAGCTGGGACCGGATAGCGTTGTCGAGAACAATGGTTGATCGGGGGCGTCACGGGCGTGGACATGGATTCGCGTCTTATGTGTTTCAGAGAGAGAGTTGAGAGCCTATTGACGTGGCGAAGGATGTATGTGAAGTCATGCGAGGAGATGTTACAGTCGATGGTGAGGATCTCAAGATTCTGGAGAAGAGAAGGGGCAAGCGGTAACCAAGATTTCAGAATCTGCTGGGGATGTGCAGCCCATGTCAAATGACGAAGGTTAGTAAAAGCTTCAAGCGGAAGCTCTGGAGAATTGAGAGGGTTGAAAGGAAGTGCCTTGTGAGGAAGCTCAATTGTGAGATTCTGCCACAACCCGAAATCCAGAAGTTCCTTGTTCCCAAGGAAGGCGAGAAGATGCCCAAGGACACGAAAACCGTCCTCCAGCGTCCAGTACAGGTCCTCAAATGTCGCCGTGATTTTGAAAGGACGACTGACGTCCACACATTGGCGAACACACCGGCATAAAATTTGTGATATGTTCCGAGAGTTGACACATCTTCCAAGCTCAATGACTAAATCCTGAGGTTGTAATCGAAAGATAATGTATGGCCGAGAAGGGATGAGATGGACCAAGTCATTCATGGAAGTCTTTCCCGGTGTTGTGAGATGAGGTGGAGCTCTTGTCTCGGAAAGCCTGGTCTAGCATGAGAACATTCACACTTATTCTGTGCCATAGTACTCACATAAGACTCTAAATGGGATTCTTTGGAGTTTCTGAATGTCATTTGGCATTTAACATGTTCGCGTTTACAATGAACCCTTGTTCTTTTCGGCAAACTCGTATACAAGTAATGCCAATGATGGAAACTACCTTGTGCACCGCCGCGGTTTCACTGTCAATGTACTGGAGATGACAGATTTGTACGTGTTTCAAATAATCACAGAGACTGCCATAAACATATCAGATGGTTATGCAACGAAATCGAGTCGCAGCGAGACAAAATCTGCACAGGGAATTCTATGTGCGCCGTAAGCTCGGTCGAAGAAATGTTATCACAACAATACAATTGGATTACTCAAGTCAGGAATCAACATTGATTGGGTACCATGTGGATAGACATCGGGCATAACAAAGCGCTCTTTGAGCCTCATTGAGAAACCAAGTTTGTGTAAGGCCTTGGTGATGTACCAGAAATACAATGCATGTATTTTTGGGTGTCCCTTTCTACGCAACGTCCGTGTGTGTCGGAACAAGAACAAGTTCCCAGGCAGGCACAAGGGAATGATTGAACTTCCGAACCTCATTTGTCCCTCGCTGTCGAGGTCCAGTGAACTCTAAAGACGTCCAAAGACACGAAAACAGTCCTCCAATGACCACTGCCTCTCTTCAACTGCCGCTGTCACTTTTAACGATGGCGAACACCAGGGTAATAATTTCGTTACGTCTATACAGGCATCACATAACCTTATAATTTAAACAGCTATGAAGTCATCTACGTCAAGTGGTGTAAGTGGTGGTGCAACAAGCAGGGGGTCAATACTTCCGGCCGAACCTGGTGTATGCAATCTTATTTGCTTTATCATAGCGTGCATAGCGTGCAATCGTGAGAATAGACAGAAAGGCATGACGGCTTACGCGAGGAAGACAAAGGTAGACTAGGTGGGAAAGCCACAACCCGAGATCTGGATGAATTCGTTTCTGAGCGGGATGGCGCAAGGTATGGCACAAGGTAGTACTTGTAGACTCCAAAAAAGAGCAAGAGTCATATTGATCACCCATGCTTTCCTTCAAACTGCCCGTCCACCAGACTTGCAAACCATGAGTGTCAGTAGACTCATTGCCTTGGAATCATTAGATCACTGGGCAGTGATAAGCATACTTTGTTCGCACAATGATCATGTCTCATGGGAGTTGATAGGATCAGAAGCCCTGTCGACCATACGACGACTGTGACACGCAGTGGAATAACCGAGCTGAATTGAAGAAAAAGTCATGGTCGAGGTTCTCAACAAGGAAGCAGCGGTATCCGGTCGCAAGTAGTAGAGCGTTTAGTACGGGTGACGGTACTAAAAAGATTGAGTATGTGTGGTGCAAGCAGCTGATGAACCATGTGATGTGATGTAATAAGTCGGAACGCGGCAAACAACGTATTTGAAGGGCTGCTTGTGACTGAAGTACAGAAGTGCTTCGACCACTAGTGGAGACGTACCAAGGACATCAGAGTTGGACTCTGCAACGGGCTTCCTTGGATTTCGCTGGTGGGAATAAGGAAGGCGCGAGATACACGGCGTCATCTGAGTGGTAATGGAAGGTAGCGCGAGATACACGGCGTCATCTGAGTGGTAATGGAAGGTAGCGCGAGATACACGGCGTCATCTGAGTGGTAATGGAAGGTAGAAAGTAAGCTTCGAGGAGATGTACCTGCTAGAGAATAAACCAGTAACTAGGTAACATGAGTATAAGTGTAATGTAAGATAAACTAAGTGAACATACCTCAGTTGCACACTCGTAGTGTAGAACGAAATGAGGTGTAGTGCATACGAACAACAATTTTAAAGGGAACGTAACCGAGCACACGTGATGTAGACGCGTTGGTGAGACGCGCCTACCCTTTGACAAAACAATGTGATGAAGTGTGAACGCTGACCTTCTTTGGTTCAGAAAGCTGCAGCAAGGCTGAGGTAAAAATTGTCTACATGAGCACAGTTATGAAAGAACATTGAAAAAGGCAGTAGTACTAGAACTTGCACCATATATTGATGACTGTTGACGAGATAATCACTTGTTGTGTAGCCAATAAACAGCGAGTCTGCTCAGTAATCTTGGTTGAGTATTCATGGAAGTAGAGTGCATCATTTACTTGAGACAATAGTGACATTAAAAGGGAAACGATCTGCTTTTACCTTCATTCTCTCGAGCGTGGAAGGAAACCGTGAACAAAGAATTCAACAAGAACTTGTCTCGTCTTGTGAAAATAAATCATTGCGTCAGGTGGCGGGCTGCTTGACTTAAGGGAAGCTTAGGCCCTCAGTTCGAACCCTGTTGCACTTGGAAGTTCAAGACCTGGAAGTAACAGATCCTTGTTTAGATTTCACTTGAACACGTGTAAAAGAAAATGGTGCACCGAGCCTAAAGTGACGACAGTGAGATTCGAACTCACGCCCCGAAAGACTAGATACAGGACACCTGATTCTAGCGCCTTAGACCGCTCGGCCATGTCGCCTCGGGAGAAGTGAGTCAAAGAAAATATATAAGTTGAATGAGCTTGGGATTGGCCGGGCAATTGGTCGACTGGTATCCTTCAGGTAGCGTGAACTGCTCCTGAGGTTACAACTCATAGATAAACCATATAGTCATCTGTGTTCCGCACTAAGGCTTGAAATGGCAAGGCAAGGCAAGGCAATGCTTACCTCGTGCCTTTCGAAGACTAACTATTCTCGCCATACCCTTCTCCCGAATCCGCTTTGTTAGTGGCGAACACACCATTTTGAAGCTTGCGTATCTATGCCCAGACGTGGAAAGAAGGAAATATGATACCCGATGCAATACATTACCTTCCCTCTTGCTGCATGGGCCGTGAAATTTTTGGTAACGAAGACCTAACCAAAATCTTGGGAGCATAGATCACTATCATCGGGTTTCAGTACACTTGTAGGACATCTCCGCACGTCTACATAGACAGACCTCGCTCGGTCTAGGCAAAGACACGAGATCGCAAGCGCGTCAAACTCCCTTTGTAGTGCTCGTCGACTAATTGCTCTATTGAGATTATTCCACAAAGTTCATGCAGTTGGGCAGCGTCACGAAAAACATGAGAATCTCTGAGCACCTGAATTGGACATTGTCGGCAATACACTGGTATATATTGGTGGTTCACTACAACCTTTTCGACGTCAAGCATTTACTGTCAAGACAGCGGCGGGAGCTGAGAGCTTGAGAACATTGAGTCGCAGATATAGCATTAGAAACATTCTGGAGAATAGAAAAGTTCGGTCACAAGTGATTAATAATCACTCATGACGCGGTCAATATCTCCAAGAAGCATTCCCAAATATTACGCTCCATCAGTAGAAGACCCCAATGATGGGTAATCAAGAGTCTATAGGCAAAGTAAACGATATGGGATCCCGGAGTGCTTTGGGTCACGATAGAGTGATGACGTATGCGAGCAGTCGGTAATGACTGGTTATATTTCACAAGGCTAGCTCAACAAAAAGATGAATCTCATGCAAACGCAGAAATATACCATGATGAGAGGGAGATTCGAACTCCCGCCCCCGAAGAGACCAGATAGCAGTGATCATCAATCATTACCTTAGTCTGGCGCCTTAGACCGCTCGGCCATCTCACCATTATAAGTAATGAAATAAACATGTTGAGAATCGTGTAACAACACTCGACGTCATGGGTTGCCCGAGACAGTTTCAACCTATATAAAAGGGGTCTCGAAATTGCGTCTGCAACAGATTACCATGGCTGCACATCCCCCAGTCCGCACGCCCTCCACCGAATGGGCAGGAAAAGACAGACCAGTATTCTACAGGAGCCCCAGCAGTCAACTCCGTCACCAAGCCTCCGCTTCTAAGAACCCCTTTGCGAGAGATGCCACTAAACAAGATACAGCATCCCATCGCACTGGTTCGCTCATCTCATCTGCCGGAGCATCTGTCCCTTTATCATCTTCTACTAATACGTTCGTTCCGTCTGATAGTACTTCGGCTGCTTCCACTCAGGCTTCATCTCCACCCGTTAATGCCTCGATTCCTACCGCGGCGTCGGCCTCTGCCAAGGATCCTGCGTCGCCTGCGTCGCCTCCAGTTCGATCCTTGGAGCCTGAAGGTACGAATGCCAGGGCTGGTGTCAGGAATTCAGTCGAATGCGCTATTGAAAGTGTATCTGAAACCGTCAAACCTTACCTCCCCGAATCAGTCGCAGCATATCTTCGTGAGTATGATGGCCTTTTTGGTCTATGTCGATATCGAAAAATCACTTTTAGCCACGAGCGCTACCAAAAACGAACGTACATCCGTATTCCCATCGAAGGAAATTCCAGGTGGTTCTGGTGTAGGAGTTGGATCGTTGCCTGGTGATATCTCTGAGACCAGCGTCGCGAAGCTCCCTGAGGAAAGGGCATTGGAAAGTCGTCAAAAGGCTTCCCACCATAAACACGGCAAGGGCCACACGCTAACCAAGAAAAGTTTGTTTCATATTCTCTCTTGAGACTATTGGGCTCAATTCAGATATCAAGCGACCAATCCATCGACTTCGCCCAGCATGTATCAGAACGCGAAAAATTATTTTCGAAGGTCTTTGGGAGCGTATCTTCGTGAGTAGTATAATATTCTGATCATACTGGAGACTGATAGAGCATCTTTGCCTTTTAGCCGGAGGCACTTCTCAATCCAGCCAATTACCCTCGAAAGAAACGCCTGGCGGATCAACTGTTGGTGTAGGCTCTCTTCCCGGAAATACATCCGAAGTCAGCGTCGCAAAGCTGCCTGAAGAGAGGCGTTTAGAAGGTATGCCGTCGCATGAGACTGACCACGAAGTGCTCGGTAAGTCCGGTGGTGTGGGAGCTTTACCGGGTGGTCCAAACGAGAGCCGTGTCGCGTTGCTTCCTGAAGAACGTATCCATCCTCAATGTATGTCAAGTTGTGATCCTTGAATAACTGCTTACTTTCGTAACAGACGATGCAGGTCCAAAAGCGATGGGATACGCTGGTGCAGCTGGCATGGGCATCAGTAGAGCAAAGGATGCTGTTGAGTTGGGTTCTCCACTTAAGCAGGCAAGTTTGTTTCAAACATCTTCTTTTTGTTTGAGTACTGATTAAACATCGTAGACCGTTGAGGTATCATAAGTCACATACCATTGAAATATGATTTAAAACGTCCTGTAGCACGATCACGAAGTTTCACGTCAAGTTCCTGGAGCATTCAACCAAAAAGCTTTGGGAACAGAATCACGAGAGGGTGATGAGACAGGTTTGCATGAAACTGCCGCTGCCGGTATCGGAGCAGGAGTTGTGGGTACCGCCGCCGCTGCGCACCATGCCTCATCCAAGCAGGCGCGTGTTCTCTCATGTCAATTACTTCATTTATATCTAACGTTGAGCGATCAGGGCAATGATGCCGGGTTTGGAGGAACCGCTGCTCACCCGGATGTTCGATTAGATCCAGGTTATCACCCCGCCGAACTGCACCCTCCCGATCCAAAGTTCAAGGACCAGGAAACCAAACCTTCGTCGTCGGATTCAAACGGAGGAAACACGAAGCGTCATTCATCCGCCTCCGCAGAAAGTGACCGACATTCAAGCACCAGCAGTGGGGAACGTCGAAAGAGCAGGATCGTGAATAAGATGAAGGGCGAGGTCAAAGTTATTTCAGGAAAACTGAGTCGCAACGAAAAGAAGATCGAGGAAGGGAAGCAAATGATGGGCAAGTAAACACGCGCAGGTAAACACGCGCACACTTAGTTATTTTTAGTTCCTTGTCAAATGTACCTATTAGTATAATCCACGAACAAAATCTATCATCATATACTCGCTGTCCTCATAGAGCCGCACATAAGTGATCAATATATTTGAAGGCTAGGACTGTAGTACCCATCAACGATGCTAACAAACAAAAAACCGAGAAGATGGAGCCGCTGCCTATGATCGTATATCAAGTGTCATTGCTTTATTTCGCAGCAGAGCTGAAAAGAAGGGATGAATTGGTCATCAAGGTTTTTGAAGTCCTGGCTGAGCAGCCCTTTTGACATTTGTTCCACGATGCATCGGTGTTGTAATTCTCCTTGTACTTTCAATCGCTTAATCAAGAAGAGACTCTGTATCTCCATTTGACTCTTCGATTTTATACTCTTCAAGGCTACAGGCGTGCACAATCAGGTATGATTTCGAATATGTGGAGTCAGATCAGAGCAAGATCGTTCTTCACCCGATCAGCATTACTTATGTACGTTTTGTATTTCAATTTCAACTCAGCCTCGCTAAACGTAGAATTGTTTGGGCCTTCAGTCGCGAAAAGCGATTTTGCTGTGGATTTGACTTCTGGGGACTTGATTGGTTCAACGAAATGTGAACATTGTGCTAGGTCTCTCACCTGATGTCAAGCTCATCCAGTATATACTTGAGCGGGCTGCATATCTGACAAAAAAGGAAATGTAATATTTGGTCTTGTAGGGACTCTGGAGCTTGAAGCGTGACCGATCCTTCGTCGCGTGGTATTTTTTCTGAGTGAATTTTCGACCAACACTAGCAACAGAGCAACCACTTAGTCCACTTCAGCCCTTCAAATTTCAAATACGTTGTTTGCCGCGTTCCGACTTCTTACGTCACATTACCATGGTTCATCGGCTGCTTGCACCGCATATACTCAATCTTTTTTGTACCGTCACCGTACTAAACGCTCTACTACTTGCGAACCGGATACCGCTGCTTCCTTGTTGAGAACCTCGACTTTTTCTTCAATCCAGCTCTGTCGATCTTCCACTGCGTGTCACAGTCGTCGTATGGTCGACAGGGCTCCCGATTCTATCACTCCCATGAGACATGGTCATAGTGCAAACAAAGTATGCTTATCACTGCCCAGCGATCTCATGATTCCAAGGCAATGAGTCTACTAACACTCATGGCTTGCAAGCCCGGTGGACGGGCAGTTTGAAGCGCATGGTGATTAACATGAACATGACTCTGGCTCCTCTTTGGAGTTTACAAGTACTACCTTGCGCCATACCTTGCGCCATCCTGCTGAGAAACGAATTCGTCCAGATATCGGGTTGTGGCTTTCCCACCTAGTCTACCTTTGTCTTCCTCGCGTAAGCCGTCACTTCTTTCTGTCGATTTACGATCGCACGCTATGCACGCTTCATACACCAGGTTCGGTCGATAATATTGACCCCTTGCTTGTTGCACCACCACTTATTACACCACCACTCAACGTAGATGACTTCATAGCCGGTTAGATTATAAGGTTATGTGACGCCTGTATAGACGTAATGAATTCATTACCCTGGTGTTCGCCATCGTTAAAAGTGACAGCGGCAGTTGAAGAGAGGCAGTGGTCATTGGAGGACTGTTTTCGTGTCTTTGGACGTCTTTAGAGTTCACTGGACCTCGACAGCGAGGGAGAAATGAAGTTCGGAAGTTCAATCATTCCCTTGTGCCTGCCTGGGAACTTGTTCTTATTCCGACACACACGGATGTTGCGTGGAAAGGGACACCC